TTTTCTTTTTTTTTTTTTGAAAAGAAAGTACAAAACTGATACAAATCGATTTGCTTCGAGCAACTCTTTTTTTCTAAAGATACGTTGGAACGTAGCCTTTAAGAATACGTGCACGAATCATATATGTTAAGTAACAACTTTGACGTATTCAGACATGTTCCAATACCGTGGAAATCAGCATGAACTTTCCGGACATAACTCCATGTTAACACGTTAACACACTGTTGATCGCGAGCTAACTCGTGTTCGTATTTGCTACTGCAATTTTTAGAACGCAATATGTATCAATAAATAATAATATGTATATAAATAAGTATATTAATAATAAAATACGTATAAATAAATATATCGAAGTCTATTCGGATCGTTTCACTCTCACATTCAACTGCCGAAAAATACGGCGACGTGGTATAGTTTCCATGTAAATTTTAAAGTCTGAGCAAACGTCGTTACGCAAACAAAAATTACATTCTCTCTCTCTCTCTCTCTCTCTCTCTCGTGTGTCTCTATCGAACTGTTTCCAGAAGAATCGTGCATACGAATGATTTCATTGGTTGGTTACACATTCGCGTGGTTGGAGCAATAAATAACATCGACGCAACGAAAGCCTACTCTCGTTCTACTAATATCTTTCCGCGAGATCGGTCGTCGGATAAAGCAACTAGTCTTCTTTCATTCCCGCGAGAAAAAAACTACGAAAATCGAGCGTGTGCAGAGATCCGGCGCGCACCTGTCGGTAAAGCTCTCTCGCGCTGTCCGTTCCCCGCGACTCGTCGTCGTCGTCGTCGTCGTCGTCGTCGTTGCCATTCCTTAAAAGGAACGCGTGGGTGGGCTGCTGCCTCCTTGCATAATTACGTCGCGGCGCAACGTCCCTACTCCGTGGGCCGCGGAGAAATTCCAGGGAAGTGGGCAACTGGACCTCCGTGTAACGACCGTTTCCAACTTTTCACCGTCGCGAATAAATGAATATTCGCGTGAGAAAGCCGCGACAGAGCCGCAATCACCATCGAAACTTTTTCCAACCAGGCAACGATGGATCGTTCCATCGCTCGCGTATATTCCAATACTGTGGTTCGATCAACTCTCGGAAATTGAAAATCTAATGTTAGTCGATACGTTGGTCGATCGTCGGAAACTGGTTTCGCGCGAGGATATAATCGGAAGAAGACACCGAGAGCCGGGGGGAGACAGCTGAGGCTCGTTAATGAACAGACAGAGAAAACGTCGTGGTAAGCGGCACGGCGCACAACCGGTGTACAACGAGATCTGTTGCTAGCGATTCCTTCTGTACCGAAAGAAGGCTGTCCGGCCTATTTACTCTGCGACCCTTTAACGACAGCGTACGTAGAGACACGTTACGAGAGAATAGGCGTTTTCTGGCACGGTTGAACGCCAGTAATTACTGGCTCCTCTGTTCCTTCCTGCCTGTCCGCGAACAAGGACCCTGAAGCAACTAGGGGACTAGAACAGTGAGAGCGTCATCGAACGCCGCACGGAAATGGCAGTGATCCGTGATCTCGAACCCGTTCCACAGGGTACACTCATTGTGCGCGCACCGTAGATTTAATGGAATTAAAAAATATAAAAGACACGACCTTGGGAAAACTACGCACGCCACGCGATCTCACGCGATTTTTGCTACGCATTACCCGTAAGTAACGTCGCGTTTTTGATACTGTGCAACATTTTATTTCATTTGAATTATCATTTTGTCAAATTATTGCCGCTGGATGACAATGTTTATTAAATTTGAGAAAACGACTTGTGGATACCTCTGATACGTACTTCTGTACTTTGCAGAAAGTTGACTTCTCGTATCAAATTCGGTACGAACGAATCAAATCTTGTTCCAGATTCTTTCTTCACTCGTTGCAAAACGAAACTGCGCTGTCAGGATCAACAAAAAGTAACATTTACCGAACTAGTCGTAATTGAATTTATTACGAATATAAGCCGGATAAAGATCGATTTGATTTTGGTTATCGCGCGGAATACAAGCGTCTCTTCAACTTCAACTTCTGTTAAGCCAAAGTGTCAAATACAAAATACGATAATGTCACAAACATTCATCCTGCAGTTTACCTTCATTCACGAGAACGGAAGCTAGAATGATAAGATCGAGCATTGTGTTGAATAATTCTGGATAATTTTGAAGAAATTACATAATTTCACATATTTTCTTGCATTCGAGTATTCGCGGAATTGCCTCGTACATTCGTCTATTCGGATATTTTTCAATCTGAAAGCGGCCGATCGATATCGAAAGTCAAGGGTCAGCGCAATATCGCGTGTAGAAGGCCGAGCTACCCTTCGAAATTGGCGTACGGCATACGGCAGGGATGGAGAGCGAAATATATTAAAATGCATGTCCAAGGTTCACAGTGAGGCTGATTCAAAGTGAGGGTGAACGAATAAAAGTATTCGGCTCGATTTTATTGTGTCACGGTGTCCAGCGTGCGACTATCGTATAGTTAACTTTTCATGCAGGCGAATTCGCGTACCATCTGCTTCGTTCATCAATCTATACGTAACGAGCGAGCGGGATGCAATATCGCTGCATTCGTACACAGTCATTTCGATTGTACGACATTGCAATAAGGTATAATCATCGTGGAAAATTGAACGCGCCGACGGAAGAATTTTCAATCAATCAGTTTGAAAATATATATATACCTGGATGACTGAAAACATTGTACGCGTATCAAAGTGTATCTCTAGCTAGTTGTGATTCGTAATTTTCAACCGGATGCTTATTTTCGTCTCGATGTGACAACTCATCCAGCTGTCATGAATTCAAGCTAAAAGCGACAATTTGGCTGGAGTCGAACTTCCGGATTCCAGAGCTTGCTAATTTATCTAACTCGTTTTTCCTTCAACTACCGCAGCACGTTGTTAACGTGTAACGTAACCTGAACCACGTCGGAAACGAGCATCATCTACGCGGAAAGCATCTCTCGCAGAACGAAGGAAATTGGAGAATTAAATGTGACAATTCCGTCACGTGTTGGGAAAAAATTCGCGCGGTGCAAAGATGATACGGTTGCTCGTACATGCGTTGCGACACGCCAGCCTCTCCGATGACAAGCTGTTTGCTACACACCGTGCTCTTGACAGCATTGAATATTCTCGGCACGAGCGTGCGGATACCGCGGGAATTTCCTTCGGAGTCTTTCGGAGTCGCGAGCTTAGAATAATCCATAGTCTTTTCGTGGGCGTGGACCGAAATGTATGAGAACGGGAGGCCCCCAGGGGTTGGAAAGTCACCTTAAAACGTGACCGGAAGAACAAGGACTTCAATTTCGCCATGAATACTTCTCTCTCTCTCTTTCTCTCCTTCTTCTCCTTTCCTCTCGATATCCTTACGACGTCGAAAATTTTCATTCAGTTTCCATTCAGCCTTAATTACCTTTCCTGCGTTTGCGGAACACCGCTTGACTGACGTTTAAAACGCTAATTAAGCATTGTTAGCCCGGAGCAGATTCGTTCTGGCATACCAGTTTTCCCTGCTGCTGCTGGTCTAGAAATTGACCAGCTTCAATCCTGATCTCTCCGCGATGTTGCGTGCACGTGGGAACGCATCTGGCCTGCATCGGGTCCGCTGCCTCACGAAAATTGAAACCACGAGCCGCGGCACGCGTGTACGTACCGTACGTACATACATACATACATACGCGACACGCGCGTTTCACCAGCCTGTCTAACGTAGAAATTACACACGCTGCGCTGCTAACGATATTACAAATGAGCGGAGAAGACATTTATCACGAACGGGAAAGTACACCGCGGTATTATCGTTAACTGCTTGCAACTGCAATCCCACCAATCTCTCTCTTTCTGTCTCTCTTTCTTCGCGTGTCGAAAGACCGAAGCACACGGCCAGTTGTATCGGTTCGTTAACAGTTTAACACGTTCCGTTCCGAAAAAGAATTAAAATTCAACCCAATCAAAATTCAATTGGCCAAGTACATAAACTGCATCGATTATGTTATTTATATTGAATCAATTGAATTGATGATTTGTTATTATTCACATCGATATTGCACATTAATTTAAAAAAACTTCGTTCTCATCAGTTTCATTAAATATCATACCACGTGATATTAATGACAAGTACAACTTCACCACATCATCTGAGAAACGCATATGTACATATGTACGTGTATTAAATATTTATGAAAATTTTTGTGCACAAATTAAAAATGTACGATTGGTATCTTTTTGTCCGACAGCCGATAGATATTCATTTGTCATGCACTTGTTACGAATGAATATAAAGCAAAATAAAAGCGACAAAGACAACTCGAAGACCATCGTTTCGAGACCAGTTGAAAAGACCGATCCTTCCGTTGTATTCCTCGCGAAAGGAAACGCGATCCAACCTGTTTGAGAGCGTGCCTTAAATATTACGTTAAACAAGCAGAAGGTTACACATGTTCGTTAATAAAACACTCGGTTTGTAGCTGGTACGCGCGTGGAAACCCGAACCGTCTCCGGTTGAAGCTAGAAAGCCAGTTGCCTGAATGTCGCGCTAGTTCCTGGCAGGCAGCCTGGCTATTACGGTTTCATTCTGTCCGGCGCATATACACGGAGAATTTTAATGAACGCGAGAACATTAAAGGTCCGATAGCCACGTCTCGTAACGCTCGATCTTATCACGCGTACTTCTACGAAAGCTCTAATGTCTCGCGTTAGAGAACCAGTCTCGTTCAACTTGGAGAATGTCAGAATGAAAAAAAAAAAAAAAGCTCGCGCGCGGAACGACCGCAAGTGTCGTTAATAGAATTTCAATCGAGTCACCGACTTTTTTTCAAAGAGTTTGAAAGCTGCATCTCTGCAAACGTACGTTAAAACTAAACTTTATTCAGAAAGGAGAAGACAATCTAAAAGACGAAGTGAATTTTGAAGGCAACGTTTGAAAAGCAATGCTTCGAAGGTGGAATTCATTTCGCACGATGCGCGACGAGCCGACACCATAATTGGTATTTTCCTTCCTGTTGCAGGCGACATCGAGGATTGTCTGGTCGCCCCGGTGGCCCAAGGGCAATTCACACCTCTGTCGGAAGCTCTTTGTTGGGCCATTTTGGAGTTAACTTCGCAGAGGCAGGCTGCCACGCTCGACACGCTCCGATCCGCCCTGAAGAACGCGTTCCCGGCGATGCAGAGACCGAGCCGCGAATTGGTCTACGACGCCCTGGCGAAACTCATGCAGGAACGAAAGATTTATCACACGTCGCAAGGTTACTTCGTCGTCACGCCCGAGACCAGGAGACTCAGGCGCGACTCCAGCAATTCTAGGAGATGTTCCAGAGAGGTGAACGGGTCGAGAGGTCAGGGTAGCATGCTCATGTCCAACGACGAGGCGATGGCGCTTGTGCACGGCGAGATGCTAACACTGAGGGACGGCGACGTGACGCATCAAGCCGTGCAGACGAATCTCGCTGACGTTATTTGCGGAGGTAAGAGATCCCTGAGATTCTCTCTCGAAAATCCTATCTACAGAGAGAGAGAGAGAAATTGCGAACCGTGTGCAACTTCAAATTTTCTGCTTCTCGCGACGATGTACAGCAGTGCCCTCTTAAGCGTCCGGAGAACTTTTTGTCTCAAAATTGCAATATTTTCTCAGTTTTCAAGTATATTCAAGTGAAACAAAATAGGCAAAACAAATAATAAATTTATTACTTCTCGATCATTTCTACCGACGAGTTTAAAAAGAAAGCGACGAATTATTGTTTACGGTTTGCTGCACAATCAGTTGCCAGCGCAAGTGGTTAATCCCTTAATCGAGTATACTTGTTACGAAAGGATTGTGATTTTTTGTTGAATAGCAAATTAAAGTAAATTAAATTTAACTCTTTAATTTTGCAAATATTTTACTTCTTTTACTTCTTTTTATAAATTGGTGAAAATTCAAGTTCTTTTCTCCGGATTTTGAATTTTTAATGGTTTCTTTTTTTATGGAATAATTTTCAAAGAATAAAACGTTAAGTTCTGTGAATATCGTAAGTACCAATGCAATTAAAAATTTTTCAAAGGAACACCAAACAAAAGTTTATCATTTTGTTACAATTTAACTCAACCTTACAGCAAGTGCATTTACCGTGTTTTCGTCGAGCATACTTGTCGTCATTGACTAGAAATAATTAAGCACATCAATGCACATTCTCAAAGTAAAGCAAAACGCTTAAGGGATTAAGAAGAGTTGAGCGTCAACTGTTATACCGATACCAGGCACCTGCCACAAATTCCAGCATTGTTTACTACATTATTCGATCGTAAAGAAACTTAACGTTTTAACATTTCATTTAAACTGAATGTGTTCAAACTACTCTAAATTTAATACATACATACTCTTAAACTAAATAAAGCAAGAAATCAAATGTAATTGTAATTAATCTAGATACCTCGAAAATTTATTGAAATTTCCTATGAAAGTAGTTGTTGATCAATAATTATCAATAATCGAGTAGATTCATCAATATTAAACTAACGATACACATAGTATGTGCATGATTCTATAGTCGTAATAATACATATAAATTGAACATGTATTTGTTATTTAACATAAAATTTGCCCAACTTTGATCGATGCATGTGTGTCGTTTCGCTTTATGTTTCACGCGGCCGCGCGATAAGCGTGACGTTTAAGTAAGAAAAAACTGTGGATGCTGAAGTGGGCACTGCTATACATCCAAGTAACGAAAGTGAAGCTGGCCGCGCGTTTTCGCATAAAAGATTAGCCAGGAAACGAAGTTCCCGGCGAAGTCGCGAAGGAACTTAATCGCGAAGAGAGAGAGAGACTGGTCGAGCCGGGCAAACCCGTTCGGCACGTGTTCGGGGATCGTTCGGCGAGTGTCCGAGAGAAGTGTTGTTCGTTGGCTCGGGCTGCGCCGAGGGAGACCTTTTTCTCTAAACTCGATGGACGAGTCCGGTGCGTTTATGTTGTCGTCCTTGGCAGCCACGCAGCACCGCGCCGGAAGACCGTGCATTCCTGCTGGCCGGGCCCGAGCGGAAAAATCGTCGCGATTCGATTTAAATTGCGCCACCCTTATCTCGGGTATTTAGAGTGGCTGTCGTCTCGCGGGCAAATTTATGCCCGGTGCGCGCTTTAAAATTAGAAATTCAAATGGACACCGGCATATTACCGGAGAGCTCGTACGTATAAAGAAAACGACGACGTTTTCTTTATCGAGTATCGAGGTGCGTGCCAGCGCCTTCTTGGCAATCGTGGTTCGACGCGATTCAAGCATTGTACGATAATACCCCGTTTCCATATATTGCTCGGCGCTATCAGCGCTATTCCCCTCCATTCCCATCCGGTAATAGTTGAAACGTTGCGTGCCTCGACGTTACATTGTTACCCGCGCCATTGATCGCCACCAAGCCAGGTAACGCCACGCCAACTCCTTGCATGCGATCGCGTTTTCCTATGCTCGAGTGCACGCTTGCAACCTTCTCGGCAGTCTCCTCTTCGGCAACAGCCTCTCGCAGTTGCGAGACGATAGACGCGGTCGATAGTCGCCGTGGTCGTGGTCACAAAAGTTTCGGAGGCCGCGCAAACTGGAATTTTCTGGCGCACTGACACGGAAACACCTCTCGCAACGTGGCACCTTGCATGTTTCGCCTCTTACACGTGGCACCGGGACGCGTATGGAGGACGCGTGTATGTATGTATGTATGTATGTATGTATGTATGTATGTATGTATGTACACGCGAGCATCGGACGTACACACACGGCAAGAGGAGAACAGTGTCGGTGCCAACTCGCGACGATCCCTGGAAAGCGTTTAGCGCAGCCGATATATTAGCTATTGGTCACGACATTGTCTACCGTTACACACGCCGCGGCGAGATCACGTGTGATGGGAGGGGGCACGTATATAATCTTCCTACTTTTCTCCGACTCGTTTCTCGAGTGATTCTCACGCTGTGCTAACCCACAGTCGGTCGTCGCCACCGCCTCTGGCTGTGTGTACCGCGATGAAAATCAGGGACGAGGGACGTTCCACTTTTTGAGAACGCGATTCGAGGATTCGAATGCCAACCGTGCCTCGAGCAGTTCGTTTGACCAAATTTTCATTTTCCATGAATAAGCTACGATCGAGTCTCGTTACTTTTATAGAGAGTCGTTACATTTTTAGTGTATCTGTAAGAATATCTGACACCAAATACCAATTCCTCGTGCATAGGAATCATTAAACTTGATCAAATATCAGGATCGAAGATGAACAAATTGTGACCGAATGAAAGCTTTTCAGAGTTTGAAATACAATTTTTGAATACACGGACGAAGACACGCGAATTTGTGCGCGGATTGTCGATTGAAATTCAAATTTTCATTTTTGAAAAATTCTTCACAAATTATTACGCTATATCGGTAAGAATTAAAGAATATCTGCCAAATACCAAGTCTCAGTGCTTTAGGATCATCGAACAGAGTTCAAATGCGACTCAGCGAAACAAGATCGATGAACAAACTAATTGCGAGCTTTTTAAAATGCAATTTTTGTGTACACAGAGGAAGACTGGAAGTTGTTGGTGTTTGCAGGTAACCCCAACGACAAGGTTCTGTTCGCAAGATGTCGATCGATGCCAGGTCGCCTCGAGAGGCGACATTCTCTGCGACTTTGGGGATCGGCCAGACGCTTACACAGAAGCGGAAGTTCACGGTCTCTGCCAAGAAGGCCAGAAAGAAGCGACACATCGTCGAGCGCGGAATACGCGAGCACCGACAGCGCGCCCCATAGTCCAACCAGTGAGTTCAATCGGGGAAGGGATTGTTTTGGTGATGGGTGATCGCTTAATCGGGACGTGTTGGCTTTCCACCGAAGCTAACTGATACTTGGATCTGGATCACGGACGTGCGCGCGCACACGATCGTAAACACATTATAAAAGAGAGCATCACGGTTTCGAATTTCAACACGCGACGCACATTCGTAAAAATAAGATTTCTTCTCCATGCGATTTTCCTCTCGAGAGAATCAAATTCTTTCGGTTGAAGCATCCAGTTGCGAAGAAAACGAGAAACGAAATATTTTTGTTCTTAAGGGAGTAAACTACACACAAGCACGCATCGCAAATGTTCCACCGAACACGCACATCGCGTCACGCAAAGAAAAATACCCCAGACGAAGAGAATTCGCAGTTCCCCAAGTTCCTAAATCCGCGAACCACAGCTGAGCATCCACCAAAAAAAACGAAAGCTTCTTAGTCACCCTTAGCTGGCAAGCCCTTCCTCGATCCCCGATCTTTCATTACGAAATGCAACATCGGTTCCTCCTTTTTTTCCTCAAGGTTTCTCCGGCATTTTTTCAGAGAAAATAGGCCTACTCTCGAGGCTGTTCCGGCGAAGCACACGGAGGAAGGGTGCCCCGTTAATGGGCACGTTCAGCGCTCAGTATCCTCCTACCGAGTGGTTCAATCCACGTGTCGTTCATCTACACAGCGTAGCCACGCAAACGAGAGCTGCTAGCCCTTCGGTGAGTTTGAAATCCAGCTCTCGATGCTATACTAATTTTCTACTAACGAAAAGAGAAAAGGAAAAAGAGAAAAAGAAAGGAAAAAAGAAAAGAAAGAAGAAAAAAGGAAAGCATCGTTTCCATGGTGTTTTTCCTCTCGACAGACGGAAATTGAACGCGAACGCGGAGATTAAATCGCGCGAGAGAGGCTCGAGAGAGGAACGAGCCCGGTCGGCTTTAACAACGGAGTAACGTTTTCAGATGATGGAGGGTCTAGATCAATCGCAGGCCAGTTTCCAAGTATGGGACGACTCGAGCTCGGTGCGATCCGCCACGCTGCCCAGGCGACACCGACGCCAAGCCAGCGGCGATTCCTCTAGTTTATTGGCCAACTCGACGCCCAGGAGTTCCAGACGACATCGATCACCGTGTTCGACACTCCCCAGATCAAAGTGCTCCAGTTTAAGCAGATGCACGTCCCGAGCCTCTGTACTGCCGCCGGCTAACAATCAGGAGCCGTATCAAAGTCGCAATCAAACGCAAAATGGCAAAAACTCGGCCAACTCGTCACCAAGCAGAAGTGGCGGTAGTTCCGGATCCGTTGGGACAGCAAACGCCAGCCCGGCGAAAACGGCCACGCTAGGCAGATCCAGCACCAGACAGCCGAATTCCAGACGACCCAGTCACGATTCCACCGGCAGTGGTACCAAGTCGAACGGATCGCCTCAGCACAAGGTGAATTCTCCAACGTTTGGTTTAATGAATTAGCAAACGAGTTGAAGTAACTCGAGCCAAAGAATAACAGATAACACGCGCGTTTTATTTGCAGGTTCTACAAAAGACATCGTCCGGCCACTCGTCCCACTCCAGTGGAAAATCCATCTCGAGCGGTAAACTCTCGTCGTCGCCGTTGAAAATGTCAACGTTGCCAGCGAAATCCTCCCCGCTGAAAGTGGTCCAACAAGGATCGTTGACGCCGCTTCAAGAGGCACAGAACTCGATAACCCTGCAGGTGTCGACGAATTTAACACCGGTGAGCCCGTCGCAGGAGCAACGAGCGATACAGAACAGCGTGACACTGGCCTCGAACGCGACCAGCACGACGACCATCTCCGGGTCGCCTGGCACGAAGATCTACGTGCAACAGAACAACTCTCCCATGAGATCGGTGATCACGTTCGAAAACGGCACGGTGAAGACCAAAGTGGCCGAGAAGGAAATGGACTGCAAGGAGAAACAGGATCGGGAACTGATCGGCGAGAAACTCTACAAGAGTTGCAAAATAGACGAAGAGAAGCTGTTCAAGTCGAAGCTCGACGACGAGAAGCTGAACAAGTCGAGCAAGCTCGAACGTCCGTCCTCGCTCTATGCTTCCAAAGAATCGAAACCGAGCCTCCTCCTGTCGGAATCTGACAAGGAGAACAAGCCGAAAGTCGACGAGGAATTGCCCAACAAACTGAAGCTGACGAACCGCTTGAACAACAGCCAAGCCCACTTGATAGACGGATCGACCAACAACATAGACAAAAACTCTTTGGTAAACGAGCATCCGCCGACCACGTTAACCAGCATGAAGAACACCAACGACGCGATGAACAATTCGAGGAAACTGAGCCTATCCTTGTCGAAGGACGCTCTGAGCTACAGGAACCTTCTACGACCCGGTTCGAAGAACAACATCGCGTCGAATCCACCGTCGCCCAGCAAGTCGTTCGACGGTTTCGGTGGTTCGTTCAACAACGTCTACATAGAGAACCTCGAGGCATCGAAGCAGCAGAGAGCGCCGCAAGGTTCCGAGCCGAATCTGGAGAAAACGGTCAGTCGAGGTGATCTTTACTCGTACCCGAGCCTGAGCGACATGCAAGTGCAATTCACCAGCCTGGCGGCGCAAAAGATCCTCAAGGGCTGCCCAATTAACAGCGTCGACACGCTCGTTGAGGTCAACATGGCGGCCGCGGAGAAGCCGAACAACTGCGACGTTACCGTTCACACCGACTTTGGACTCGTTTAAAGTTTTCTTCTTCGTCGATCGTCAGGAAACCGGGCGTGGGTTTCCACGCGTTTCTTTTTTCTTTTTCTTCTTCTTTTTTTTTGTGTGTTTTGTTTCTTTTTTTTTTTTTTTCTTTTCTTTTCTTTTTCTTCGTACAGTGAAAGGTTGAACTTTAGCACGATGAACTTCTCGGTATCTCGTATGCTTGCGCCGTGGTAGAAACGTTGAATAGCAAACTGAAGAACGACGTACTGCTTAAGCATATAGAGAGAGTATTGTTACAGTTACCAATAAATAAACGTTCGTTATGTCCGTCACGCATAGTATATGTACCGTACGATCGCATGTTATCTCTTTGCTCGACAGTTTTTATGATCCGATTATATCATTCGCGTTATCGCGATCATAGTCGATTATCATTCCATGATTGGTGATTCTCGAACATTGTGCTTCCATTTCATCATCTATATGCTTACGCGGCTGAACGTTCGATGACGTTGTGTAAAATAAAAGCCAGCCATTCCACAGAGAATATTCGTTAGCTTGCTCCTAGTTGCTTGGAGCTCGGCACTCATCAATCCGGCGAACTATATTGTTGTTATTATTATCCAGTGATGACTTTATTCGCTTGATGTTTAAATTACAAAACAAAAAAGATGTCTGAATGCTGCCTGTTGTCGTCGGTTACTTGAAGAAAATGACTTGCTAATATTGCACTGTTCGTACCACAACATCTTTTATAACGATAATTATTAAGAGACTCATTAAGAGAGTGTTTAAAGTAAATTCATTCGAAACAAAATTTTTAATCGTCGTTTTTCGCTTGTAAAACAGTGCATTAGATTTCATCGTGCCTCCATTGTTTTTTTTCTGTTTCAACAGTTTTGTTTTAATTTAACGTAGTACACGAAATGAACTATAAACGGGTACCAGAGCGTCGTAACGTTAGCAGTTTTGCATCGCTTTACCGAGCTAAAGCGATTTGCTAAAGCAATACTTCACGTACGATAGCCTGACAATTTGCCTTACTTGAACGGGAAAGGAAGAGAGGGAAAGAGAAGAGATGATAATATTTTATGCGAATTCCAAATACTGCCAATTTCATAGCGTCGATTTAGGATAGCGATCAATCTATGAAACACTCGAGTCCTCATGGAAGATGTAAAGAAAACAACCGGTAATTTAACGTGCACCATTCGTTCATTTCGAGCTAATCGTCCAATCACGCTGAACGAGAATCAATTAATCGTTAGACGATATTTTGTTTCGGTCGATATGCCAAAGTAGAAGGGAAGTGTAGAGCAGTCAATCTTCTTTTTTTTTTTATAGAGTTTAGGACATAGTTATCGATTACACGAATGCAGTGAATATATTACGACTATAATTAAAGCGTTAGCAACTATAAATCGTCGTTACAACATATTGTAACGAGATTCCATGAAAATGGGTGAAATTTTTCCAAAATGAAATTCTCGCGAATAACAATTATAATGTTATAAATTTTATACCCTTCGTAATACGTACTTCTGACCAAACTGTGTGGTGAAACGATGATTCGAAAAAATATTTCGGTCAGAATCGTCGTTTATAAAAGAAGAGAGAAATATAAATTTAAAGATGCATACCGAATGAAATAAATAATAACGCGAGATACAAATGTCAACTGCCTACAACGTCACGAGATTCTAATGACGAATACGTATAACAAAAAAAAAAAAAAGAGAAAAGAAGAGGTGCATTTCCCTATTGAGAAAATAAGCGGTACCATTTAATTAATTAGTGCAATGGTAAATCTAAGTGCCAAAACAGTTAATAGTACTTAAATCGCCTTAAACCATTTGCAGTGCGACGCCAGCGCGTACAAACGACGAAGTCGCGATGTAAACGAGTTCTCTGTTAAACGTTCGAATTATAATATTAACCATAAAAAACAAAAAAAAAATGATATGTCAGACACGTAGTCGTAAGATGGTAGATAAAACTGGGCCCCGATGAATGGTGTCTGCTTTGTACATTTCGTACGTTGTATTACCGATTAACCGATAGTAATTTCGATACACCTCTATGTCTTCCAGTTTTTGAGGATAATGGAAAGACAGCGATCGTTTTACGCCCTTATTTCTTATCAAAACTAACTTGTAGAGTACTTGTGTAATCTTGCTCTATTCATAATTATAACAACGAAAGCGTATGATAATAAAGAAGGCAATAAAATATACACCTTTGTTGATTTTAAAGACCCATCAATTAATTATCAACAGATTGAAAATAGATAGACTCGATTTTCGACATTACGATCGATTTACACAAAACTATCGAACTAAATACGTTTATTAAATGTTATTATTAAATGTTTTTTGAAATTTTAGCTCTAGCAATGAGAACAAAGGCATCCAATTTAGCAAAGAATAAGATGGCAACGCTAGTAGTGAATGAAATTACAATTATTTATCGACTTCACCAAACAACGTATCCTACTATGTCGACTGTCAACCTTGTCATTCCCTATATTACCAATTTGATGCAAAAAATTTTAATCACAGACGTACAAAATCATAGCTGATAAAATATATATTTTTTAGCAGTATTTTCAGTAATAAAAAAAATAGGTGGTAAGGGGTGCTGAAAAAACCTAACACAGTAACCAGAACAGATACTGACAAAGAAAATCTAAAACAATAGCCAAAGAGGCCATTGAAAAAGAAATCGCGATATAGTAGCCGAAAGAGCTACTAAAAGAACATTTCCTATCCAATATAATAACCAAAAACGCTATTGTCAAATCTATATTTGAGCAACAAACCGTATTTTATTTCGCAACACTAATTCGCTAGCATTAATTGTGAAATTTTAATCTATGCACTCATATTTAGAAATACGAAACACTATGCTTCCAATGCAACCATACTGGAGGTTGCTGATGAATGATTACCTCTGTGCAGCTTTTGTAGCTGTATCAGGTGATCCAGGAGTAGGAACACCCTGCAGTGGAAGAAAACTTGGGCATTTCGTAAACGCAACGCTACTTTAGAAAAGAAACGCGATCATTCATTATCGCAACACTAAATTAGAGGAAAACTAATTGGAAATCGCGGTTAAACAATGTCGCAACACTAACTCTAAAACCAAATTAAATCAAAATTATTATCAACAATACAAAAGCTGCTGTACGAAGAGAAAATTATTTTGAATATTCTAACATTCTAAAATTAATTAAAAGCAATGACTCTATAATATAGATAAATACATATAACACTAAGGCAGCTATGAAAATTAACAAAATTGCAAGAAACAATCGCGGAAATTATAATTCGCAACTTTAAAGCAAACACGATTATCATTTCTTCGCAACTCTAATTCAACCCGTAATCAATCTTTCGCAACACTAACAAGAAAAATCGCGATTTGCCCAAAACGATGATGAACGATGATGGAGAAGAAAAAAAAAATACTACTACAAATACTAAAAGAGCATAGTGACAAAGTAGTAACGAGAATGACCTCCCATGCTCTGGAATCATTTAAATGATCTAGAGGATGAGAAGCCATTTGTTGTGACCCTCTTCGTGGCAGTTTGCCGGGCCTCTTCTTTTCTTCGAGCGCAATGCCCGCTAAAACTTAGGTCTAGCTCGAGTCTTTCTAATCGCAAACCAAAAAGTAACTTATAAAGGTGAAATAAAAAGATAAATCACGAAAGCTAATCCCAATACACATGGACGTCCATCGATCACAGTGATCGTTGTCCGTTCGCAAGTGCATGCTCGAGCAATACTTACAAAGACGTTCGTTTCGGAACCTACTCGCGACCTATCCACGACCGCGACCACGATACTAAATTCGAAAAATCGAAAAGTAAAACCAGATACAATGGCATGCTCCATTTGTACCAATTTCACTGTCGATTTTTCAAATTAGATTTCCTGAAACAGGTTGGACACGCGAAAAGGGGACACGCGACCAGAGACTGTGCCAACCTGCCCGGCCCTACCTACTTATAATTAAACACAGGCATACCAGAAAGTAAGCTACCTATCCTAATCAGACGCCCTATATTTAAAAAATGGCAAGACAGGCACACCAACACACTCAGTCCACGGTTCTCATACATACCACTCGGGCGCAGACCTAAACTAGAGAGAACATCCCGGGACGCCTCCGACACCCGAGCTTAACATACAACTTTCACACTCTAATTTACGTACCATTTTCCTGAAATCGGCTGACAATGGCTAGCAAACATTGCGTAAACCGTGATTAAAACACGTTTATATTTACAGATATGTGTGAATTATTAATAACTGAGAAAAAATATATGTAATTTCCATAGAAATTACAAGTGCAAGTTAACTTGTAATTATTATATTGTATCATATTATATAATTGATAGTAATTAGTAATACAATTATAGTGTATTTAATAAATATTATTGTAATAAATTCGTATTTCAAATATTTTAAATATTTAGAATGAATGGAACAATAAAAACGACGCAATTCCACATCCTATCCACATACACACATGCGGAAAATACGACGTGCACGATACGCTAACACATTGTCAGTCGCTGAGAAATTTTTTATAAAATTACAAGCTATGGTCATCGTGCCCAATGTCTTTCACCCACCCAAGTAGCACCTGGGCACGTGAGTGAGATCCTGACAATGAACACGGAAGGGATTAAACCTGAAAATCCTGAACTAAAAAAATAATTAGTTTATGTAATTTGTATCTAACGAACTATTGTATTATTTTATTTTAAACTCTAATGGCTACTCTTCCAGAAATTACAAGAAAATAGAGACAATGAACAAAAATTTAATTTATTAAGAAAGATATGAAATCTAATAATTGACTCAAACAATCAAAATCAAACAATTGACTCTAAATTAAGACTATTAATAGAAACAATCTCAGGCGACTTCTTCATCAAAGCACATTTTCGAAAGTGTGAAAGAAGTGTTCAAATTTGTTGCTTTGATTCAAAAATCTACCTATCGCGAAGTATCTTCTTGCACATAAAATTTCATATATTTTCTACGGAAAGAATTCTAATCTATTATTTCTAATCTATTATTTCAAATTGTATTGAAGTTCATAATTATAAAATTCAAATCATTTAATAAAATAAAAGGGAAGATGATTGGAAATTATTAATTATTATAACAAAATATATTACCAATATATCAATAAATAAATAACTGCATCTTTCATAGCAACGAAGTCGGAGGGTATCCGTCTTCTCTACTACAAGATGCTCAAACGAAATTATTTTAACAATAATTATTTATAATTTATCTGTTCATGTGGACATTCGTATGAATATTTTGGTTTTTCAAACATTTATATTGAATATATTTTGATTTTACAAGTAATTACTATAACTTTATATATTCAAACTAATTAAAATCGCGATGTGCAAGAAGCCCTATCCTGATCTAATATATAAAAAAACCTGAAAAAGATGTTACTACTCATGGATATGAAAAATATCCGCGGTCACTATGCTCATCAAAAATTCTACGTATACAACCAACCACCCGTGTCGATTCGAACCTTTCATCCTACGACATGGTTGAGTGACCGGAGGAACATAAATGCATGCGACTCACAGGATAGATGTGAAGAACGTTTACAGATGCTGTACTGGAGCAGGGAAAGTTATCTTGAAGGCCGTCATCAAGTAGATACTACTGAGAATCCCATTGTGGAAGTGAACACCGTGAAAAATTTCTTGAAAAGCATAAAGACACAATATTATACGTGAAAATTTTAATTTTAGTGATAATAAAAAATGAAACTCTAATTATTCGAAATGTTTATATTTTAGAATTATAATTTTACATTAGACTTCAAGAAAAGAAAGAGAACTGTAGAGAATAGAATTAATTAAGTACAATGTGCTAAAATACTTACGTTCTTAGCTTTTGAAACATCTAAGATTCTTAGAGAATAAAGGGAATTGGAGAATGTAGAGAGTCTATAATAAAACATAAAACATTAAAATTCATATTTAAAAGCAAAGTAGAATAAATTCAACATAATGAAAGATTCTTACGTTCTTGACTTTGGAGCCATCGTTGGATTTTCCCCAGAATGTACCAAAAAGTTAATGCTATGAAGCGTCTGTAATAAAACATTACATTTTGTTGTTAAATTTGAAAAATTAAGTAACTTGAAGTATAATATATAATATTACTTACAATCTTTATCTCCTGAAGAGGCTTTATCCTCTTGAGCACTGACTCTAATATACCCGAATGTTGAATAAAAAAAAAAATGAAAAAAAAAAAAAAAAAAAGAAAAATAAGACTATCAACGCACGCGTTTAAGTAACAATCGGCTGACTCAGTGATTCTAACTTCGCGAATTGTAATGTAAATGAATTAATAATTTAATTTATTAATAGGAGCCATTTCACTCAGAAAAATATTAAAATATTGTGCAACAAACACTGACTCTACCAACCGCATTGCGCGCGGTCACAAAAATTTTCTGAAAATAAAGCTCATTAGAAGGATTTTTAACAAAAATATGTTAGATAATACATATCTAACAACTATTGATTTCAATTTTTACCTGAAAACTTCTGGACGACTTCTTTCTGGATGATTTTTCTGGGTGACACTTCCTTTGTTACAGATGAGATGAGCTTCTTTCCGCCATTACAGGTCTGCTCTCCCGCTTAAAAATCGAGAAATATCGATTACATTCGAGAATCGTAGGAATTGTATTGCGTATTTCACCGTGTAGTGGCGCTGCCATCTTCAACTAATTTAAACCCAATACGCGCGCATTTCACTCGAAATGTTAACTTAGAATAATAAATAAAAAACAACTTCTGGTCTAAATCAAATACCAAATTTATGAGAAATTCTTAAAAAAGAACGAAAATGTTCACACACTTGATGAAAAATTGTCAATACTTTAAACTGAGAAATGATAAATTTTATTATATTACGCAGTAAAATTATTTTAGCCATTAAATACGTACATCTTTAATAAATTATTGTCGATTTTAGTATTGGAATTGTTAAGAATTTTGCAGTATGAGGTTAAAGAATCAACAACTGAATAGAAAATACAATAGAACAATAGAAGAATAAAATAATAGAATTCAAATAGAAGTAAAAGATTATATATAAAGTCACAATATTTGTATTGATTAGAATTGAAATTATATTTTGGTATAAAATTTTAAATAACTTTATTTAGTATGAT